TTGGCAACAAAATTGTATTATAAAATTATGAAAAACGATAGTTTTAAACATGTTTTTGAGAAAATTTTTTTAAAAAATAACTGGGTCAAAATAAGTGAAACCGGCCACTTGAAAAATTTTTGTCCCCGAATTTAAAGTTATCTATGGTTTTTGATAGATATATGAGTAAACTTTTACCCGCTAAAATATTTTTCAAAAATTTTATTTATTTTGAAAGTTATCAGGTGTTAAACTTTTAGGTTACTTTTTATTCTTTTCATTATTACTCCGAAACGAATGAAGATAATTTCAATTTTTTTTTTGGAAATTAAAGCTAAAAGTCTGTAGTTTAAAGTGCAACTGAAAAAATTGCTGTATAATAAAAATTTCTAATTGTTATTAACAATTATTTTAAACAATTGCGATTTAAAGTATGTTCTCAATGTCGGAAAAAAATCAAACTATACTCATGTGATGCGCAAAACTCTAACGAGTAAATTAAAAAAAAAAAAAGTGAGTAACCTCTAAAATTACAGAAGTTATGCATATTTTTCTGACGACGCGCGGGAATTAACTGATTCGCAAACTCTCGAGCGCGCGGGAATACGCCCGCGCCCGCTCCCGCCGCACTGCTCACACTTGTGTTTTCAAACAATTTATGTTTACAGAGAAGGAGAAGTAATTAAAATATTATTTTCTTACTGAATAGTTTATTAATATTTTTACTTTTGGAGTAATTATATACATAAAAACCATTTTGTATGTACTCATAAACTGCTTTGCAGTTTTTATGCTTTGATAAAAAAGTTTTTTCGTGGGTCTGATATTCTTGAATCGTACAAAAATCGAAATCGATATTGTTTGTGTAGAATTTCATCAAAAAATTTTTTAAATAATTGGATTTCTAAATAAAATAATTGAATCATTTGTCACTTCTCCAAAATTCAATTTTTATTAGTGTTTTAACTGAAATTTCTTCTATAAATTCGCTATTTTTAATAATTTATTATTTCTTAAAATTGTATTCCCATAAAGAATTTTATTAACAAATTTTTAAATAATTGAATTCTTTGAAAGAGTTTTAATAAAATGTTTAAGAATAATTATTATTCTTAAACATTTTATTTATTTATTTATTATTATTATTATTATTATTATTATTATTATTATTATTATTATTATTATTTATTATTATTATTTTTTATTTATTATTTTATTTATTTTTATTTTTTATTTTATTTTTTATTTTATTTTTTTTTAATAATAATTATTCTTAAACATTTTATTAAAACTCTTTCAAAGAATTCAATTATTTAAAAATTTGTTAATAAAATTCTTTATGGGAATACAATTTTAAGAAATAATAAATTATTAAAAATAGCGAATTTATAGAAGAAATTTCAGTTAAAACACTAATAAAAATTGAATTTTGGAGAAGTGACAAATGATTCAATTATTTTATTTAGAAATCCAATTATTTAAAAAATTTTTTGATGAAATTCTACACAAACAATATCGATTTCGATTTTTGTACGATTCAAGAATATCAGACCCACGAAAAAACTTTTTTATCAAAGCATAAAAACTGCAAAGCAGTTTATGAGTACATACAAAATGGTTTTTATGTATATAATTACTCCAAAAGTAAAAATATTAATAAACTATTCAGTAAGAAAATAATATTTTAATTACTTCTCCTTCTCTGTAAACATAAATTGTTTGAAAACACAAGTGTGAGCAGTGCGGCGGGAGCGGGCGCGGGCGTATTCCCGCGCGCTCGAGAGTTTGCGAATCAGTTAATTCCCGCGCGTCGTCAGAAAAATATGCATAACTTCTGTAATTTTAGAGGTTACTCACTTTTTTTTTTTTTAATTTACTCGTTAGAGTTTTGCGCATCACATGAGTATAGTTTGATTTTTTTCCGACATTGAGAACATACTTTAAATCGCAATTGTTTAAAATAATTGTTAATAACAATTAGAAATTTTTATTATACAGCAATTTTTTCAGTTGCACTTTAAACTACAGACTTTTAGCTTTAATTTCCAAAAAAAAAATTGAAATTATCTTCATTCGTTTCGGAGTAATAATGAAAAGAATAAAAAGTAACCTAAAAGTTTAACACCTGATAACTTTCAAAATAAATAAAATTTTTGAAAAATATTTTAGCGGGTAAAAGTTTACTCATATATCTATCAAAAACCATAGATAACTTTAAATTCGGGGACAAAAATTTTTCAAGTGGCCGGTTTCACTAATTTTGACCCAACTGGTTTTTGGAAGTAAAAAATTTTCTTACTTAAATTTTAGTAAAAATTACTAAAATTTAGTCCTAATTAAATATATTTTTTAATACAAATTTTAATAAGAAAAGACTTTCAGTTTAGTCTTCTATTGGTACAAAATTTCTTCTCATATAATATTATTGTAAAAAAATTACCATTCTAATTAAATATTTGAACATATTTTAGTTTAAAATAACTTAATTTTTACTACTTTAATAAATAAATAAATAAACATATTTTAAAGTTTAATTTATTTATGTTGAGATAAATGTTTGTAGAAAACCTTATAATTATTTATTATTTCTTTATTATTTTAATATATTTAATTGTTTTTTTTTATTCAATTATTTATTTACATATTTATTTCTTTACTCAATTATTTTTTTATTTAAATACTTTTCTATTTATTTTTTTCTTATTTAATTATTTTTCTATATATATTTATTTCTTTATTTAGTTATTTTTCTATTTAATTATCGTTTTATTTATTTATATTTTTGTAATGAAATTGTCAAGGTAAGATTTTCAAGTTAAACATTGACGGAGTCAGTGATAAGAGAAAATATAATTATTTAAAGGGTAATTAGACGTTGTTGTTGGTTGGTTGAGAGTCTCACGCGAAGAAAATAATTTTTTTTTTATTTTCATTTATATATATATAGTTTTTATTTTTAATTTTAGCCTGCACTTGCGAGCAGTATTTACTGGCGGTCATAAAAGATAATCGCCCCCCCCCCCCTCTTTTAATTATCCCTCTTGCTGATTGTTACAAGACGCAGAATCTTATTTCGTAGTCATTAGCGCAAAATATAAAAGGACGGCACTTGTTTAACAAAAATTATTTCCCTCCCAAAAAAAAAGAAAGACTTTTCCTTTTTTTCGCAACTTTTATAAACCAAAAAAAAAAAAAAAAATCTTCCCCCTAATGACTATTTCTTGAATGCACAATTTCTTTCTTAAAGTCACACATGCATTTTTTTAATTATCTTGTGGACATTTTATTTTATTATTTTATTTTTAAAAAATATTTATAGTCACTATAAATTTAAAAGAAAAAACATTTTTCTTCATTAAAAAGCGAAACACAAGATTCTTGACTTTGAACTTTCTTTTCTTTTTTTTATATTTTGCTTTATATTTTGAAAAATTGCGCGAAAATTAAAAAAAGTTATTAAATTATTTATTAAAAAAAAGAAGAAATTTTTTCTAAAGAAACTTTAAAAACATATTTATCAAACTAATTAAAAATGTAACAAATACTTGTCCAAAATTTTCTAAAATCTACTAAACTTGTCCAGCATTTACAAAATTTGTCCTTAATTTTTCAAAATTTAACTAAATCATTTCCAAAATTTACTAAAATTGTCAAAAATTTAATAAAACTTACTGAATCATTTCCAAAATTAACTAAACTTGTCCAAAATTTACTAAAATTTATTAAATTTGTCTAAAATTTATTAAAACTTACTAAATTATTTCTAAAATTTTTAAATTTTTACTTTTGTCCAAAATTTACTAAACTTTGCTAAATTTATCCAAAATTTATTAGAATTTACTAAAAAATTTCCAAAAAATAAACAAAAATTTACAAAATTTGTCAAAAATTTACTAATATTTACTAAATCATTTTGTAAATTTACTAAACTTGTACAAAATTTACTAAAATAATTTCTAAAATTTTTTAATTTTTACTAAATTTCTCTAAAATTAGCTAAATTTGTCAAAAATTGATTAAAATTTACTAAATCATTTCGAAAATTAACTAAAATTTACTAATTTACTAAATTTGTCCAAAATTTACTAAAATTTATTAAATTTGTGCAAAATTTATTAAAATTTACTAAATCATTTCTAAAATTTTTTAATTTTTACTTTTGTCCAAAATTTACTAAAATTTGCTAAATTTATCCAAAATTTATTAGAATTTAATAAAACATTTCCAAAATTTACTAAATTCGTCTAAAATTTACAAAAATTTACAAAATTTGTTCAAAATTTATCAAAATTTACTAAATCTATTAAAATTTACTAAATTTATTAAAATTTACTAAATTTATTAAAATTTACTAAATTTATTAAAATTTACTAAATTTACTGAATTTGTCCTTTATTTGTCCATAATTTACTAAACTTGTCCAGCACCGAAAATAAAAAAAATATTAGTTCAAAAATATACCGAAAAAGAAAATTTTTACTTTTTTTTCTAATAAATAATATTATTTTTATTTAAAAAATTCAATTTTTTTTAACTTTAAAAAAAAATATATTTTTAATCTTAAAAAAATCTGATAAAGGTTTTTAGTATAAAAATATACCGAAAAAAATATTTTTAATAATCTTTTTTTTTTTAATCATAACTCTATTTTTAGAGTCCAAAATTAAAATTTTTTGAATCGAAAAAAATATCTTTAAGCTTTTGAAATTCTAAAAAAGTTTATTAGTTAAAAAATAAAATTTTCTTTAATGAAAAAGAATAAAATTTTTTTTTTTTTAATATTAAAATTATTTTAACTTAAAAAATAAAATTTGTTTATTTATAAGTCTAAACAAGTCTTAAAATTGTTTTTAGTTAAAAATTGACTTTTTTCGTTACGGAAAAAAATATTTTTAACATTTTGAAGTAAAAAAAAAATTTCATTTCTTTATTTTTTAGAAATAAAATGCAATAAAGTGGAAGGGGGGGGAAGAAGAGAATTGATATAATATTCAATGAATGAAGAAAAAGGGTGTTCTTACTTGAACTCGCTGTCGATGATGATCTTGTTTCTTCTGACGCCTCTCAAGTTCTTCCTTTCTCTCGATCAACGATCTAATCTCACTTACTGGAGTCTGTGAAGTCAGTGTGTCGCTCGGAATCTCTCCGGACGAAGACAATCTTCTCAAGGTCGCTGGCGAATCTTCATCATCTTCACTGTAGCTTTCCACCAATAATTCCGAGTCACTCTGATTCAGAAAAAAGAGAAGAAAAAAATTAAGCAAAATTACTTATTAAAAAAAAAAAAAAAAAAAAAAAAAAAAAAAAAAATTGGCAGTAACTGTTAATTTTTACTACAATGGGACCAATTGGGCCTTAGGTGAATAGGCCGCTATTTTTTACTCGCTGTTTTACAATTTTATTATTTTTTAAAAATTTTTTCCAATATTTAATTTATTTTTTTTTATTTATACTTTTTTTCATTTATACTTTTTTTACAATATTTTTTAAATTACCGTTTGGTAGAAGTTTTGCTTTACTTTAAATGTTCGTTTCTCTCTAAATCTGAATTTACTTGTTACTTATGCAAAAAAAAAAAAAATATGGGAACATAGTCAAGGTTGGACCCTACTGTTTTTAAAATAAAAATACTAGCGCCACCTATTTTCTAAATTACAAAGAAATACTAAATTACTAAATTCCAAATTAACAAAAATTTCAATTTACTTTACGAAAAAAGAATAAAATTAGTTAGGGACCCTAGTCAGGGTTGGACCCCCACTATTTTTTAAAATAAAAACACTAACGCCACCTATTTTCTAAATTTATTTTTGCTAAAAGTTTATTTTTATTTTATCTTAAAAGTTTACTTCTTTCTTAATTTAAATATTTACTTTATAAAAAAAAAAAAAAAAAAAAAAATTGCTGTTAATATATATTTTTTTTTTTAATACAGCAAAAAAAGATTGAATATATTTTCAGAAAAGGAGAGAAGAGAAGGAAAGAGGGGAAAAAAGCAGCAGTAGATTTTATCGCTTTGAGAATAAAAAAGAAAAAAAATAAGCAAGAGAGAGAGAGAGAGAGAGAGAGAGAGAGAAAAGCAATACCTGTACCGGTGGAGAACTTGGAGAACTTGCACTGGATGCTTCGACTACTGAAACGTATTCGCTGATACCCGTTTCGCTTTTCTGTAACTTTAGTACCGGCGTCTCAAGGCCGCAGAGAAATACTTGACCGAAGAAGAGAATCTTGCTTATCCTCAAACAAACCTGAACCACTTCCTAAAAAAAAAAGAAGAAAAAAATTCGAAAAACAATTAATTTATTTTTTTCTTACTTTCAAATTTGTAAATTTAATTCTATTTTTGGAAAATAATAATTTCCTCACTGAAATTTGATTTTCAAATTTTTTATGCTAAAATTTTATTCTTAGTAATTTTTGTTTTTCTTCAACTTCTTCCGTTTTGTAATTTTTGTTTTTCTTAATTTTTACATTTAGTAATTTTTACTTTTTGAAATTTTTACTTTCATAAATTTTTACTGTTAGTAAACTTTATTATTTTTAAATTTTTCTTTTTGTAATTTTTGTTTCTCTTAATTTTTACATTTAGTAATTTTTAACTTTTAAAAATGTTTACATTTTTAAATTTTTACTCAATTAGTAAATTTTATTTTTCATTTTGAAATTTTTACCTTCTATTAATTTTCTTCTGTAATTTTCACTTCATTCAATTTTTACTTTTAGTAATTTTTACTTGATTCAATTTTTACTTTTAGTAATTTTTACTTCTTTCAATTTTTTTCTTTTCAATTTCAATGTAAAAATTACAAAAAGGAAAATTAAAAGAGAGTAAATATTACTGAAAGTAAAAATTATTGAACTTAAAAATTGAAAGAAGAAAAAATTAAAAGAAGTAGAAATTGAAAAAAATAAAAATTTCTAAACTTAAAAATTACAAAAAAGAATAAAAGAAAGTAAAAATTTCTGAAGGTAAAAATTGAAAGTAATAATAATAGTAAATTTTCAATTTTTACCTTCAAAAATTTTTACATTCTTTTAATTTTTATTTATTTCCATTTTTATTCTTTAGATTCTTACTTCCTTTAATTTTTACTTTCTTTTAAATTTCTTTTTTTGTAATTATTACGTTTAAAAATTTTTACGTCCTTAAATTTTTACTCTAAGTAAATTTTATTTTTCACTTCATTTTTATTCTCTTCAATTTCTTTTTTTCTTGGAATTTTTATTTTGAAATTGAAAAGAAAAAATTGAAAGAACTAAAAATGAAAAGAAAGCTAAAATTACTAAAATTAAAAATTGAAGGAATAAAAATTATAAAAATGAAAACTAAATGAAAGTAAAAAATTGAAAAAAGGAAAAATTAGAAAGACGAAAAATTAAATGAATGTAAAAATTACGAAAATTAAAAATTAAGAGAGAGTAAAAATTACCTAAAATAAAAATTGACAGAAGTAAAAATTAGAAAAAAATTTTAGTAATTTTTACTTTTATTACTTTTTACTATTTTTAATTTTTACTTCTTTCAATTTTTTTTCATTTTGAAATTTTTTTTTTTGAAATTTATTACTTTACAATTTTTTAAACTAAATTTTTAACTTAATTTTTAACTTCATTTTTAAAAAATATTTTTTTACTGAAAGTAAAAATTACTAAAATTTAGAAAAGAAATTAGTTTATAGCTATCAAATTTTTTATACTAAATTTTTAGTAAAATATAGTAAAAACAAAAATTACTAAAATTGGGTAAATAAAAATTTTTCCGTCGACTAAAATTTAAAATACAAACACATTTTTACCAAAAAAATATTTAACGAGAAATTCTTGAAATTTATGATTTAAAATATTTTTTAAAGATAAAAAGTTAAAAAATTAGAAGAATCGTTTAATAAAAAACTGTAATAGTTTTTCAATTTTTTTAATAAACTTAAAATAATTATTACTAAAAGTAGGACCTCTATTTTTAGTTAATTCAATTTAAGTTAAAGATTAATTAAAATTAGTTTCAGTTATTTTTTCAAAAATTATTTTAAATTAATTTTGAATATTTAAAAAATAACAAATTATTTTAAATTAATGTAAAAAAAAAATTAAAACAAAATTTAGTTATTTTCTAAAAATAATTATTTTCTAAATTAAATATTAAAAAAATTTTTTTTAATTTAAATTTAAATTTTTTTTTTTTAATTAATAAGGAAAAAAAATTGTATTAATAATTTTCTTCCCACCATATCTTCCGTTTTTTGTGTGAAGAACGCGTCCTGTGGATTAGACATTAAAGGCGTGAAACCAGCTAGTGTTGTGTCCTCCGGAAGTTTTACTAGTTCTAGATCTGTAAAAAAACAGAAAAGAGAAAAAAAAATTATTTTTTAGCTATTAATGTGTATATGTATACATATTGGCAAAATTTATTATAACAGCATATATATAGGAAGAAAAAAAAGAGGAACTTTTTGAAAATTATGATAATGTTTCGCTCGTTAGACACAGAAAAGTAATAAAAATGATTCAGCTTATTATAATGCAAATGAGAGAGAAGACTCTTTTCGTAGGTACAATATATATATTTCATATTAATGAGATGTTGGTACTAAAATTAAACCGACATTTTCTCTCCCATAAAAAATGATACATTCGAGAATTTATGCAAATTTTTTTGGCCATCATCATCATCATCATCGCCATCAACGGAATATCGTAAACAAAAACACCTTTAGATTTTCTTTTTTTTTATTTATTTATTTTGTATTTATTGGATTTATTTTGTTTTTTAAATTTTTACCTTTTTTATTCTTACACTATTTTATTTATTTTTTCTCTGGTTATTATTTTAATTTTGTGTAATTTTTACTTTTGTATTTTTTAACTTTTTTTAATTTTTATTTTCATTAAATTTTTCTTCTTGTAATTTTTACTTCTATTAATTTTTAGTTTTTACTTTCCTTCATTTTTACTTTCAGCAATTAACTTCGTTCTCTTAATTTCTAGTTCTTTCAATTTTTACTTTATTTTAATTTTTACTTTCATTTAATTTTCATTTTTATAATTTTTACTTCTTTCAATTATTTTTTTTAGTAATTTTTACATCTTTCAATTGTTATTTTTAGTAATTTTTACTTTCTGTTAATTTTTACTTTTAGTGTTTTTTACAATCGTTTAATTTTTCTTTTTGTAATTTTTACTTTCAATTAATTATCATTTTTGTAATTTTTACTTCTTACAATTATTATTTTTAGTAATTTTTACATCTTTCAATTGTTATTTTTAGTAATTTTTACTTTTAGTAATTTTTACTTTCATTTAATTTTCTTTTTATGTAATTTTTACTTCTAACAATTTTTATTTTTAGTAACTTTTACTTTCTTCTAGTATTTACTTTTAGTAATTTTTACATTCATTTAATTTTTCTTCTTCTAATTTTTACTTTCATTTAGTTCTTATTTTTTAGTAATTTTTACTTCTTTTAATTTTTTCTTTTCAGTTTCAAAGCAAAAATTTCAAAAATAAAAATTAAAAGAGAGTAAAAATTACTAAAAGTAAAAATTTTTGATCTTAAAAATTGAAAGAAGTAAACATTGCAAAAACGAAAAGTAGAAATTTCTAAACGTAAAAATCTCAAAAAGGAAAATTAATGAAAGTAAAAATTTTCTAAGAGCAAAAATTGAAAGAAGTAAAAATTTCAAAAAAAAAATTAAATGAAAGTAAAAATTGAAAGAAGTAAAAAATAAAAGTAAGTAAAAATACGGAAAGTAAACTTACTAAATGTAAAAATTAATAGAAGAAAAATTTATCAAATGAAAAATTAAATAATAATGTAAAAATGGAAATAATTAAAAATTACAAAAAAGAAAATTGAAAGAAAGTAAAAATTGAAAGAAATAAAAATTACTAAAAGAGAAAATAAAAATTAAAAGAATTAAAAATTAGAAGAAAATAAATTAAAGAAAGTGAAAATTTCTAAGAGAAAAAATTGAAAGAAGTAAAAATTTCTAAAGGTAAAATTTGAAAAAAATTAAAATTTCAAAAAAAATTTCAAGAAGTAAAAATGAAAAGAACGTAAAAATTACTGAAAGTAAAAATTGAAAGAAATAAAAATTACCATAAGGAATATTAAATTAAAGTAAAAATTGAAAGGAGTAAAAAATTAGAAGAAGGAAAACGAAACGAATGTAAAAATAACTAAAAGTAAAAATTAAGGAAAGTAAAATTTAAAAGAAAGTGAAAATGACTAAAAATAAAAATTGAAAGAAGTAAAAATTAAAAGAAAGCAAAAATTATATTTATTATAAAGTTAAAATTCAAAGAATTACAAATTTTGAAACGTAAAAATTAAAAGAAGTAAAAATTTCAAGAAAAAAAATGAAATGAAAGTAAAAATTGAAAGAAGTAAAAAATAAAAGAAAGTTAAAATAAGGAAAGTAAAATTAAATAATTGTAAAAATTACTAAAAGCAAAAATTAAAATAAAGTAAAAAAGTACTAAAAATAAAAATTGAAACAAGTAAAAATTACAAAAATGAAAATTAAATGAAACTAAAAACAATAATAATAAAATTATAAATATTTTTTTTAATTAAATAAAATTTTGCCGCACGTGTGTATTTACAGAATAAAAAAAAATCCAAATCTTCATTTTTTCAAAAGAGCGTCTCACCAAATAATTTAAAATTTTAAATCTGTCTGTAGTTTTTTTGAAAAGAAAAAAAGGAGAAAAAAAGGAGAAGAAAAGAGTCGAAAAGAAAAGGAGAGAAAAAAAGAGGAATTTGGAGCAGTCGACAGTGAAGTTGGAAATAAAACAAGAATTTCGTCTGTTAAACTACGTTTCGGAAAGGATCTGAGACACTAACGGTAAATGCGACAACGTGTACCGTAATGTCAATTTGTTGCTGAATTCACTTTACGATCGAGTCACAATAGATAAATTGGATATTGCTTCAAAGAGTTTACAATACATTTATATATAGATATACACATATACAAGCATATGTGTGCATGAAATTTCATTCGTAAAATGTAATTGAAAATATAAAAAGACATTATTATTATTTATAGAAAAAAAAATGAAATAGAAAAAATTCTGCTCCACTTTTCAATAATTTTTTTCCTTTTACTTTATAAATCTTTTTTGTAGCAAAATCACCTTGTTCTCGAATTCCAGGAAGACTAAACACAATGCATTATGGTTTTATTATTCTTTTCTAATTTTTTTAAATAAAATTAAAAAAAAAGGAATTTTTTTTTTTTTTTTTTTTTTTTTTTTTTTTTTAATGTACTTTTTCAATTTTTTTATTCGAATATCATCGATAATAAATTCCTTTTACAATAAATAAAAACTAAGAGAAGTAACGAATAAAGGAAAAATTATAGAAAAGTAAAAATTACAAAATTTAAAAATTATAGACAGGTAAGAAATTCAAAAAAGTAAAAATTAAAAATTAAAAAGAAATAGAAAAAAGTAAAAATTAAAAAAATTGAAAAAAATTGAAAACAATAAATAAAAAACTAAAGGTAGTAACAAGTAAAAAATATAAACAATATTCAAAGGTAAAAATTACAGAAAATATAAAAATTACAAAAATTAAAAATTATACACAAGGTAAAAATTACAAAAATATGTTAATTACAAAATGGAAAAACTAAAAGAATAAATTGATAACAATAAAAGAAAACTGAAAAAAGTAACAAATAAAAAAGTAAAAATTACAAAAAGATAAAAAATGTAAAAAGTAAAATTACAGACAGGTAAGAATTATACAAAAGTAAAAATTTTAAAAAAACTAAAAAAACAAATTGAAAACAATAAATAAAAACTAAAAGAAGTAAAAAATAAAAAATATAGAAAGCTAATTATCACAAGAAGATAAAAATAACAAAAAGTAAAAATTATAAGTAAAAGGTAAGAATTACAAAAAAGTAAAATTTTTAAAAAATTAAAAAAAAACAAATTTTATACAATAAATAAAAACTAAAAGAAGTAACAAATAAAGAAGGCGAAAATTAATCAAAGGTGAAAATTACAAAAATTAAAAATTATAAACTTGTAAGAATTACAAAAAAAGTAAAAATTAAAAAAAAACAAATTGAAAACAATAAACAAAAACTTAAAGAAGTAAAAATTTCTGAATAAAAAATTTTAAAATTTACTTTTTTTTACTTCTTTTAATTTTTACATTTATTTAAATCTCCTTTCTGTAATTTTTACTTTAAAAATTTATCTTCTTTCAATTTTTACTCTTTGTAATCTTTACTTTCTTTTAATTTTTACTCCTTTTAATTTTTCCTTTTTGAAATTTTTATTTTTATAATTTTTATTTCTCTTTATTTTTATATTTAGTAATTTTTACTTACTTTTAATTTTTATTTCTTTCACTTTATTCTTCAGGAAATTTTTAATTTCTTTATGAAAATTTGACTTCTTTCAATTTTTACGTTTAGTAATTTTTACTTTCTTTTAATTTTCCATTTTGTAATTTTAACGTTTAGAAATTTTTACTTTTTTTAATTTTCCTCTTTAGAAATTTTTACTTCTTTTAATTTTAAAGTTAATTAATTTTGTACTTTTATTTATTTTTACTTTCTTCCAATCTTCATTTTTGTAATTTTTACATTGAAATTAATAGGAAAAAATTGAAAAAAGTAAAAATTACAAAAATTTAAAATTATACAAAATGTAAAAATTACAAAAATTATAAATTATAAATTTGCAAGAATTACAAAAAAGTAAAAATTAAAGTAAAATTGAAAACAATAAATAAAAACTTATAGAAGTAACTAGTAAAGTAAGTAAAAAATATAGAAAGGAAATAATTACAAAAAGTAAAAATTATATACAGGTAAGAATTACCAAAAGTAAAATTTAGAAAAATTAAAAAATTGAAAGTAATAAATAAAAACTAAAAAAAGTAACAAATAAAGAAACTAAGAAACTATAAAAAGGTATGAATTACAAAAAAAATAAAAATTACAAAAAGTAAAAATTATACAAAAGGTAAAAATTACGAAAAAGTTGAAAATTACATATAAAAATTAAAAACAATAAATATAAACTAAAATAAGTAATAAGTAAAGAAAATAAAAAATATAGAAAAATAAAAATTACAGAAGGGTAAAAAAATAGGAAAAGGTAAAAATTACAAAAAAAGTAAAATTATAGAGAGGTAAAAAATAGAAAGAGGTAAAAATTACAAATAGCAAAAAGTAAAAATAAAAATTGAGAACAAATAACAAGTAAATGAAGTTACAAAAAAATAAAAATTATTGAAAGGTAAAAATTACAAAAAAGTAAAAATTAAAAAAACAAATTGAAAAGAAAAGAAACTAAAAGAAGTAACTA